AATACTTCAGATATTACCACAAGTGTGTTTCAGGTGTATCCGGAGCTGTCAGATGCGTCTCAGGCCTGTCTCCCTCTGTCGTCCTTCTTCACCTGTTCGTCTGATAACACCATCAGACTGTGGCACACCGACCCCCCCACCGGACACAGAAACCTCTACAGCAACGTAAGACCCACACGAGTACAAGTACGCAGTATACTGCAGTACACAGTGTACCAGGACTGAACCACAGAAGAAGTCTCTTTCATTTGTTTTAAATCACTTCCTGTCTGTCTTTCAGGACCTGCTGAGGATTTTGTATGTGGGGGAGAACACGCAGCACCTGCAGGCGGAGGGGGAGAGGGGGGAGGCAGCAGGGGCTGATGGGAAGGCTGGGATCAGAGTGCTGGGTATCAGTCCTGATGGACAACACCTGGCAGCCGGAGACCGCTGTGGAAACCTGCGGTAAGAGACACAGAGCCGGATCAGACCTGGATCCTGTGGAGTATCAACAGATGTATAACGACGTGTTTCTGTGTGTTCAGTATCTTCGGTCTGGAGTTTCTGGACGAGCTGGCAAAGATTGAAGCTCATGACTCGGAGGTGTTGTGTCTGGTGTTCTCCCCGGCATCCACAGGTAATAATACTAACTGAAAAACTTAATTTACCAAAAGAAATACTTACAATACTGGCAGAAATACTTAATTTACTACTACCAGAAATACTTGAGTAGAAATAGAAGTACGTCCAATACTACCAAGTATACTTTCGTAATGCATGAGAGACTTACTGACAGTACCACGCTGTGAATGAAGGTGGATGTCAGTCAGTCTGCAGGTTTCTGTACGGTTGTGACGCCTGAATAACGACTGTTGTTTCAGGTGTGAAGCTGTTGGCGTCGGCCAGCAGAGATCGATTAATCCACATCTTCAACCTGGAGAAGAACTACAGTCTGGAACAGACGCTGAACGACCACTCGGCCTCCATCACTGCCGTCAAGTTCACAGGTAAACTGAGAGTGAGTTTACAGAGTGTCTGCAGGGTCTTAAAAAGGCTCCAATCCAGTAATAAAAACTAAAATGTGTTAAAAGTATCAACATTAATATTTTTAAATGTGTTTTCTGATCATGCTGTAACAACTGACATACACCAATACAGATTTTCCTTCGTACCTTCTTTGCCACTACGAGTGTAAAATACATTCATGATGAGAACAACTGTTGGTCTGACAGTTTACCTGTGTTCCAGGTGAGAGTCCAGAGGTTCGGATGGTGAGCTGTGGAGCGGACAAAAGCATCTACTTCCAGACAGCTGAACAGGTCGGTGTGAACACACGAATCCAGACAGAAACATCTGTGGAGGTCTGTTGTTCATTGAAACCCTGACTGGCTGTGTGAGCTCATATACTGTCCCATAATTCCCCATAATGTTGTAGACGGCGGAGGGTTTGTCGTTCTCCAGGAGTCACCACGTGGTGGAGAAGACGACGCTGTACGACATGGACCTGGACTCATCGAGGACGCACGTCGCCATCGCCTGTCAGGACCGAAACGTCAGGTTAGAACACGTAAAGAGCTCCACTGAGAACAGAGAAGAGTTCAGATCAGCTGAGGACTGACTGTGTTTGTCTGTGTGTGTTTGTGTGTTTCAGGGTCTACAATGTGGAAACTGGGAAGCTGAAGAAGTGTTTGAAAGGCTCGTCCAGTGATGAAGGAGCTCTGCTGAAGGTACGAGCACTATTGATTATTGTTTCGGTTGTGTGTGTGTGTGTGTCGGTAGCTCCGTGTCCACCGCAGTGTAACGTGCAGGTGTTCTGTGATGTGATTGGCTGGTTGGTATTTTGTCTGCAGGTTCACATGGATCCGTCGGGGTCGTTCTTCGCCACCAGCTGCTCCGACAAAAACATCACCATCTTCGACTACGAGTCAGGAGAGTGTGTCGCCACCCTGTTCGGACACTCTGGTGAGTAAATCCAATATCGTTTGTTTCATTATCGGTCTGTGGTTAAAGAGTCTCGACTGTTCTGAAGTTATTTATAACCCGACGGATTGTTTGTTTCAACAGAGATCGTCACCTGTATGAGGTTCAGTCAGGACTGCAGACACCTCATCACTGTGTCAGGAGACAGGTACACTAAAATACTAACTACTGAAATTGTAATTAGTAACTGTAACTCATTACTGGGTACTGGATTCTGATTCTGCAGGGGTCCATTAATTCCTGACTAAGCATTAAGAATTAATGGACGACATAGAGGCAACATTGTAGCAGTTAATAAATGATGATTATGTTTGTGATTTGTTGTTATTTTTGTGTGTAGTTGTGTGTTCGTGTGGAGGTTGGACTCTCAGATGACCAGCACCATGAGGAAGAGGCGGGGCCTCAAACTGGCTGCCGCGCCTGTAACCTGCAGCCAAAAACCGCAGAACATCAGGTGAGATCTGGTGTGAGAGCTCGAGCTGCGGAGGTTTGTTTGTGTCCGACTGAACTTCTATATTCTGTCCCTTCGTGTTGTTTCAGGAGAGAAACCTTCATCACTGTTCCCTCCTCTCAGCTGCCTCTGATGGAAGAAGAGGAGGAAGAGGCTGACCTCAGGACTCCAGCTAGACTGGACACTGTTCAAGGTGAGGAGGAGGAGGAGGACTGGGCTCAGATTCTACCTTCATCCTCCTCTTCAGATAAAGTCAAACTAACAATGTATAATTATAGTTAAAGCATTTACAGATAATACTTGCTGTCTTCTGTTTGCCGCGGGTCATAGTGTATTATAATTCTTGCTGTAACACATTATAAACATTATAAACATGTGAAGTCTCCTGCTGGGCTGAAGCTTTAATCTTCCTCCTGGTGAAGACGGTTGTGTTGAATCGTGTTGTCGTGTTTCAGGTCCTCCGCTGCTTCAGACCAACGGAAAACTGCCCATGTGGTTCAGAAAGCTGGTCAGTCCCACGTTTATCGATCAGTTCACAGGTAATCAATCCGTCTCTAGATTGATTTTCTTCCAGTGTGTGCGTTTGTGTGTTCAGCAGGGTCAGGGCGAAGCCGCCTCCGCCGCCGTCCAGTCAGACGCCGAGCCTCGTCCGGTCAGGAGTCGGTGGGGAGAGCAGCTGGACCCTCTGATCATCTGCGCCAGCTTCTCCCCGAGTCAGATAGAGGAGGAAGAGGAGGAGGAGGAAGACTTCCACCCTCAGAGTCTGGAGAGTCTGCTGGGAGAGGAGTTGGAGGATGAGGAGGACGGAGAGGAGGAGAAAGAGGAGAAGGAGGTGAGTCTAGGGACGATTCTGAGAACTGAAACGTCTTGATGAAGGTCGCTGCAGTTCCTCTAACATCCACTTGTCCCTGGCTGACTGTGTGTGACTGTGTGTGACGTTCAGGTGCCGCAGAATCCAGGTGAGAACAGGAGCAGCTACATCCTCTACCCCAACACCAACACCACCACCGACAGGTGAGCTCCGCCTTCAGGTGGAACAGATCACTGATATTTATGGAGCTGAATCCAAATGCAAACATTTGTTTCTTACGATCGGTGTCTCTGTGTGTTCGTCAGGGAGTTTGACGTTGAGGGTGTGACTGACCCTCGGCGGTCTCTGACCCAGCTGGAGGTCAAAGGTCAGGGGACGGAGCCAGTGTGGAGCACTCAGATGAGTCCGGACTCCGCCTGCTCCGAAGGATCCGCAGGAAGTCTGGAGCAGCAGCATGACCCCGGTCAGAGAGCAGAATATGACTCTGCATATGTTGTTGTAGTCGTTGTTGTTGTTGTTGTTGTTGTTGTTGTTGTGAACCTCCTCTCTCTCGTGTTTTCAGACACAGATTCTCTCAGTCAGGGCAGCTCGGTGGGCAGTTTGTGTCTGGAGGACGACGAGGACAGAAACTCTCTGAAGAATCACTTTGACACTCTGGCCTCGAGTCTGAACGACGGTATGAAACCTTCTTCTTCTTCTTCTTCTTCATCAGTCTGTACACTTTATACTGCTGTCTCTGTCACGTGAACGCTGAGGGGTTTGTGACCTTTGACCTTTCAGAGAAGTTTGAAACAGACCTGAAGACGCTGCAGACTCCGGAGGAGAAACACTTCCTGAATCCTCGACTCAGCATCTCCACCCGCTTCCTGTCCCGATTCCAGGACAGAATCAAGTCAGTCTACCCACAATCCTCTGGGTTCATCCTCTGTTATCATCATCCATGAGTTTTCTGCTCTGGAGTTTAACTGCTGCTTGTTGCCATGGTGATAACATTCTGCTGTGTTTTTAGGGCGTGGCCGTGCCGAGCGCCGCCGCCTCCTGTCTCAATCCCGAACAGGATCTCAGAGGAGAGCAACATCAGCAACACATCGGTACAAACACACCTGAGCAGAATGATTTATGTGATAACATGAACTTTTTGAATTTTGGATCTTGACAGTTGATGAATAAAGGTTATTCACTGCCACTAGAGGTCGCACTACAGCACCAGCAGAGGAAGACAATGGACCATCAGACTGTTAACAAAACCACTGATGTTACCTAAAAGATGAAAAAACTGTAGAATAAAAGTCACAAACTGTAACTCTCCTCATACTGTACATTATTATTATTATTATTATTATTATTATTATTAAAGAGATATTATGATTCATGATGCTATTTTATTCCATCAGAATTTTATTTTTCACTGAGAAAAGGATTCAGCTCATCAGCTCACATTTGTTTGGAGAACTACAGTACTTATAATATAATATAATATATAATATAATATAATATAATGTCACGTCTTTATAAACTCCTAAAGCTTGCTGTCCTACAAACAAAACTGTCCACAGCTTTAAAATGAGAGATGTGCACGTGTGTCACAGCAGCAGCTTCATCACACCGACCAGAGGATGATGTCGGTTAGTCTGAATAAAACTGTTTCTCTGTGAATGTGCAGCATGAAGCAGACAGCTGCTCTCCGACTTCACGTCACAACTCAGAACCACAGGAAGCCTCTGGTGACTGAAACAAACGCTCATATTGTTAATAATCAGCCAATAATCAGCCAATAATCAGCACATTCACACTGAGACGGTCCTCACCGGGGGTAGCAGTGGTTGCAGACGGAGACGAGAACCCTCCGAAGGACGGAGCGATGCTGTTTCCGTTGGTCAGACTGCTGAGGCCTTTGAAGCCGCCGCCGTTCCCAAAACCAGAAAACGCCGTCGGGGTCGAACCTCCGCTCGCCGCCGTCCCGCTCAAAGAAAACCCTTTAAAACCTTTGAAGGATCCGCTGCTCTCGCCCTGAAAGCAACAAAACACCGAGTTCACTGCTGCTACAACAAACCTTCACGGACGCTAAACAATAAACAGATTCATCAACAGTTCAGTCACATCGAACTCTAAGAAACTTTAATTACACGAAGACGACTGTGGTTTTACCTCGGCTCCGATATTTCTGCGTTTGGCCTTTTTTATCGCCCGGTTCTTCAACACATCTTCACTTGCGACTGAGAAGGTCCCGGCCTGGAGGAGGAGCACAGGTTAACACACTCAATCATTTCAGACTTAGATTCCTCTTTATTGATCCTTTTGGGATGACAGTGTAGAAAAATAAAGAGGTATAAAAAAATACAGTACAAGATAAACAGTATAAACAATAAACTCTTTGCTAGATATAGAAAGTAGAGATAAGAATAAAAATAAGATAAAAAAAAAAGATAAATGAAATCAAATAAGATAAATGTAGAGAAGTGTATATAAATATAGATAAATAAAGATCAATATATAGGACAGTATATGGCATTGTGTTGTTATACAGTCGATAAATGACATTAAGCAGAAATTAGCAGTTAAATTAAATCAATACTGAGATTATTTATTGATTTTAAAGGACGAACTCTTTGTACAGGACTATAACTTAAATAAACTGAAGACTGCTGTGTTGTTAAACATCTTTGCATCAACCTAAGACCGGTCCTCGTTCACTCGCCATAAAACACTGACGCTTATCTGTACGGAGGGAAAAGCTCTTCGCCTCGTGCTCCAGACGTCAGGATTTCCTCGTCTTCGCTCTGCTGTGTTTCATTTTACACCTCCATCACCCGGCTGTTGGTTCAGGAAGCTGTTTATTTAATACGCAGCAAACGTATCGAACAGAAATATCGCTCACCTCCTCTCCCTCCTCCTCCTGATCCCAGTTCCTGTCCGTCAGCTCTTTATCAGCGATCCTCTTCGCCATCCCACCTGCTCTGTAACCGAGAGCACGGTCGCCGTTAGCAACGAGAGTTAAAACAGTAACACAATATGTAAAAGTTGATTTCAGAGGAGAGTAATGTACATTTAACCTCCCGACAGAATATAAAACACAGAAAATCTGCTGCAAAAATAACCCAACATTAAATAATAAGCAGGACTTTAACTTCTCCCTTCAGACGACATCAACACACGTCCTGAAAACTGTCCGATGGACGATTACAGCTGAAATAAAACTCTGAATCATCTGTTAATACATCACACAGACGGAGAAGTGTGTGAAAATATCAGTTTTATCAGCGGTTATTGTTTAATATAATAAGAAATATGAATTAAATAAGTCATATAGTCAGGTCACTGGTTTACACAATAATATAAAAGGCTCCCTTATAGAAATAGATTGGGAACAACTGATTTAATCATTAATAAACATTAATTCATTCATTCTTTTATCAGAAAATCCAATAAAAAGTCAAATAGAATAAAGCCTCTGAGAGTGAACTAAAGATTAGGACTATATTTTATCTCTGTTATGTGATAATGTAACGAACAGTGTGAACATTAATATTAATAATGAACATAATAAAACTGTCCGTGAACGCATCAGTTGAGTTCAGTGTCGGTGTGTGGCAAGAATATTCTGGAAAGAT